TTCTCACTTTTACTCTTCTGATTCTCTTCCCAGTCCCGCAGGGGGGGAGTGAACAAGCAGCTGTGTGGTGCTCAGCTGCTGGCTGGGGTAAAACCACGACACAGCCAAAAGGAAACTTGATGCATAAGGATTCAGCATGTAAAGAACAAAGACTTCCGAGCTGTCTAGACTAAGTGACACTTAAGGAAGCTGCTAAAATCCTTTATTTGCCTGCTACAACAGCAAATATTCCTTCTATCTCCCAAAGTAGAAGCTCTGCCCAGAGAAGATGAAAGAATTAGATATCCCAAAGTTAAGGAGCCACTGCCAGGCTAGATGAGAAACTCCATCTTGCAGCCCTTTTGATATATGTCCCTTCCACTGAGCCTATTAAAGTGTACCAAAGTACTTTTCTGTATAGATGCCTAAACAACAGCCAGCGAGGAAGAGCTCAAACACACTTTATCTGTAGCCTGCACCTAAACTAGTAGCCTTGCATGCAGAATGAGTACCTGGAATACAGTGTACACAAACAGAACACAAACGAACAGGAGGCAAACCAAATCTTGGCTGCAAGTGATGTGCAGCAGGAAGTCCTTCCAGTGCAGATGATTAGAAAAGCCACACAGAAAACCAGTACATTGCCCTGGCAGGGCCACCATCCTGAAGGTTAGATCACAGAAGCCATCTTCAGGCTTTATCACACCGAGGAATACATAGTGACATAGAAAGTCCTTAAGTATTCCTTCAGGCATTTACACCATGCTGCACTTCAACTTCTTAAGTATTGTAAAGCAAAACAGAAAGCAAAGCTTTGCTGCACACAAACAGTATGTTGTAACTATATTTTGGATGCTCATACTAAACTTAACTAGTCCAGTTACAGAAGTTATACTAAGTAAAGCAATCACCTAATTGAGTTTGTCATTTGAGTTTGTGCTTGCCAGTGCCCAGATGCCCTACTGTGAGGGACCTTCTGCAGAGTAGAAGGGTCATGTTTTTCACAAGTGACTTCAATTGTCTGGTGTCCAGTCAGACACTTCATAGCTGCATGGTTTCTGAATATGCAGTGAACTGACACCCTCCTAAGGGCTACGTCCCTTCAGTTAGGCTAAGATTACTAATCACTAAATCTCATGCTAAGATTAGGCTTGCAATTAAGTCCCATCTCTAACATCCTTTACATGACTGGAATTCCCAACATCTGCAGTACTTAAAGCAGGTCTCACAACAGAACCACCTTGCAATGCTCTGGATTACTGTTAAAAATGGTATTTTAACATTATGGATGTTTGAACACTGCAAGTAGTTTCTTTTAAGAATTACAACTTGTACCTTCATTTGCTACAAGACACTATCTTTCATATACACTGGCATATATGAAGCTGTTTTACAGCTAGATGGTATCCATATCCATGTCATTTCTTTAATTCTGTAGTAAGGCAAGTGAGCAGAAAGGAGTTGGGGAACCTATTTTGTTTCCTTTTTCCTCACTCCGTGCTTGCATGACACAACTGCAGAGCAGACTTGATCACACAAATAGATTTGTTTAGCATTCAATTCCAGAGAGGCCTAGAAAAGGTGTTTAAGAGACATGAGATTCAAAGAGTAGACTTACATGGTCATTTTCAATGTTTTGCAGCAGTCTTGGGTCATCAAATTCACACGATTCACTGGTGGAAGGAGGTAGCTGGCTGCAGAGCAAGACAAGCATATTCAAACATAACAGTGGCAGTATTTCCAATCTTGCTACTTAATCTATTTTGTTGGGAAGCAAAGGAAAAACAAGATACAATTCTCAACATGAGACACCTCCATAACAAGCTCTTTCCCAGTTTAATTATTAAAACATACCATTTTAATAAAGAAGTTAATTTTCTTCTCCTTGTCAGGTTTGAACTTAGTGATTGCAAAGAATAATATTCAGTCTCTAGCTAGAGGTAAGGTTACTGTAAAGACAGTTACTCTTATCTTGTAACTTGATTGTCTACAATTATAAATAAGCACTGCATTACCATGCATCCAATCCACCCCAGCCACTGCCTATCCCTCACTCCCCTTCACCCACCATCTCTCTATGCAGAAAAGAAGATCCATCACCACCCACCAGCTCTGCATTAGGCTCCTGCTGGAAGAGCATTTTACTCAAACACACTGCTCCCTTGGGCTTCTTCCAGTCCCAAAATGAAAAGTGGTCTTTATATAGATTGTCCCCACTCTGCTATAGAGAACACAAACATCTTAGAATATATTTACCTGAAGTCTTCTGATGAACGTTCTCTTTCCAGTTCGGGAAAGTGACTAGGGGGCAGAAAAAGGAAAAAAGAACATTTATTCCACTTTGCAAACCAAAAAAATAGGTAGAAGGTGAAGATCAATGAGTCATCACACATACAAACATATGCTGGAACCATGGGTTCAGCTGTTCACACATTTGAACCAAGTCTTCTGCTTTTTGAGGTATCTAATGTAGCTACCATGAAACTCAAAGGTTAACTTGCAGAGATCTTAAGACTACCCATTTAAAACTAAGCAGAGAGAAAGATTTACTATTCAAGACTCAAAAGGCCAACTGCTATGAAATGCTGGCATGACTTAAAGGGATCCTTTTGACAGAAACAGAACAAAGCCAGTAAATGGGTATCCCTCCCATGCAGGGAATATTTAACTCCACAACTATGATTGCAGCTACATGGTTGTAATGAAATCCTGGTTCTTCTGAAGTCACAGAAATATGTCTGACAATTGATACCCTTGGACTGCATCTTCTTCCCTCTAGAAAAGTCAGAGGTTATTTGGCACTTCTGGTTTAGTTTAAATCATGATAAAGATAAGTTACAAAACAAGTAATTCTTTCTCTTCATGTAAAGTACTCCCCAGGTTTGCATTTCATAATTTGTGTTGTAGGACATGAAAATCAAAGCTATTAACTGAGACCACAAAATACCCTAAAATACAAACCAAAGAACAGAATGTTCTAATCCTGTTCTGATTTATAGAACTATGTACCATTAATGAGCACATATTAAACTACAGAGTTTCTAAAAAAAGTCATACCTACCCATATGTCACTCCAGCAATACTACATTTCTTAAAGTTCATGATATTGCATGTTAGAGTACCTGTTTTATCAGAAAACAGGTATTTCACCTGGAAGAAAAAAAAGTCTAGTTTTCAGCCTGCACAGTAACAAAACTCAAAGTAGAAAACAGATTAAGTATCAGGAAAATTCTGGGAGACTTATGGCTCAGCTGTCACCATACTGGCCAATGCAGGCTTATTGCAGCTTGGTTTGTCTTACCAAAGCTGCAGGAAAATAATCAGGAAAGTTTTTTAATGGCATTATTTCTCCTTTATCTCTAAATGTAGCAAGGCCCAAATAGTAGGTATCAATTGCCAAGGCTCCAGTGTATATAATACAGATGTACTTGCTTGTGCTAGTTGAACATTCACCAAATCTTTCAACTGTACTAACATCAACCAGCAAGGCTGGAAATTAAAACAAAGATTCTAAGATCACTGAAGAACCATTAGTATTTAGTATACTGAAGAAAGTCTGTGTTCCAAACATCACCAAGAATTTGCTTGGGGGGTTCCCCATAAACAGTACTGTGCAAGGAATATTTTGGAGAAAGTCCAAGTGGTATTCTGCAGACAAACATAAGCTGCCTTTCCTGGTATTCAGTCACGAGCAGTCCTGAAGTGCAAGGCATAGCCACAGTCAGCTCTACCCAAGCTAATAATCCCTTACAGGAAACCAATGACTTCCAGATAGAATTTGGAGACAACACCAACACAACTTCTTAGAGCATTAGCAGACTCAAGATTCCCACCTTCAGTCGGCCGCAAGAGACCAAAAGTAATTGCAAGCTAACTTCCACACTGTTCTACCTCTGCAGTAGGTAAGCTTTTAAACCAGCAACAGGTAGGAAGTGATGGTGTTGACATAGTCTGGTCTTTAAATTGGCTAACTCCTACTTTGCCTAGAGTTACAAAAAACATTTCCTCAATATTTGCAGCTCAGTTACAAGACAGTGCACTACACTACTAGATAAGTGATCCTTTAGCAGTGCACTACCCTGCTTCCAAATACAGCACTGACTAACTTGTGCAAGCTTCATTTCCAAAGTAGGTACCCAGACCTCTGAGGAACTTCAAGTCATTAAATTTTGTTATATGCTAAAATTATTAAAATACACCTGTGAACAATTCAATTAATGAATCCAAGAATTCAGTATAGTTACATGGAATCAATAGTAAGCCATTTCTGAAAACAACGTATGGGCCAACAATACACATTATGCCTCATATAGTTTACTTTAGACAAAAACACTACTGTAATTTGGAGGCTGATAACTTCCAAGTAATCTAAATACAAATCAAATTTTAACAATCCTAAGGAAAAGGCCAATCAGATTAAGCAAGAAGAATATTGACTACCACCCCACTGAGCAGCACACGATTATTTTATTATATAAGCATTGTCTCCAACACTAAATTCGCATGAATTATGAAGTTTATGTGGTTCAGTTACACGCCTATGACTTTAGTGGTCAAGGAAAAGCTAGGATTTCTCAATGGTACTACAAAATTTCAATGGCAAAGTTGTGTTTTCCAGTAACTTTGAGAAGTCCTTCCATTTTGAAAAGACTGATTTCCAGAATTTATAACAAATTTCTTACAAGTACAAGTTAATATACAGTTATCTTTATCTGAAAGGAAAATAGAAGCACTTGAAGGAATACAATCTGAATTAGGAATAGAACTACATTTTTTTTTACTAGCACTTCCTGTGAAGTGGCCACAAACATGAAGAACTAAGAACACACGCTGAGGTTGTTGGCCTGCTCTTCAGCCATGCTTAGTCCTGTACTTTCTGTTCTGGTATAGACAGTCACAACCACAGAGCATCTCTTCAACACCCTTGAGGGAAAAGTCAGTTTACAGCAAACACAGAAAATAAAAAGTGCAATTCCCAGGCTTAAAATTGCCTATATGACCTCAAATTTAATCCTATGATTTCTCATTATTTTACTTGTAAGATTTGGACTAATGAAAGTCAAGATATCCCATTAATCTGAGCCACAGAGCAACAGAATAAAGCAGATTTGTACAGCATGCTCTCATAGCTTCTGGGAAGATAGAAGGGTATCACAAACACACACTTCAGAAAATGCTGTCTTACCTGCCCAAGTTCCTCATTAAGGTTTGAGGTTCTGGCCATTGCAGGTGTATCTGTTTCAGGATAATACATATCTATGTCCTGAAATGAGAGCAAAATTAGACCTATGCTACGCAAACTAAACTCTGAAGTCTCCAGCCTTCTTTTAGTCAGCTCCAACTTGGCTTAACTCCATTGGTGGAGGTTCTGAAAGCTTGAGACAAACAGCATCCCAGGCTGAACAGGGCTGCCTCCTTTCCAAAGTATACTGCCATACTACATGTACATGAGAAAAGCCAGATTTGATTACACATAATTATAATTTTCTTCATGGCACCTCTAGTTTAAGAATTTAGTACAGTAGGAAGTTCTAACAGGCATTAGCCATGCTAATCACAGGTCTTCAGTTACAAAAATGCAATTTACTCTAGCCACCTCTGTGACTGAAGAGACAATTTAAGTGACTCTGAAATCAACTCCTATTACTACATTTAATTGGGAGGGTAAACAAAATAGCTGCTACATGAACCAAAGCAATTTCTCAGATAAGCTAGTCAAGCATGTCCAATACATTATAAGCAGCTCAGACACATTAGACCTTATTTACTTGAATTTTAGAGGAACCACCACAGCTTTACTGACAGTCCAAGGATTAATGGGTACCAAGACAAGGGATTCCTCTTGTTCAGCTTGAGATATCACTACAGTATTTTTGGTCCACAACTGAACAGAAACACACTTTGAAGTCAAAGCTCGCCTGAACAGACAGATCGCTGTTTTGTTGCGTAAGGCACCACCAACTCATCTCCTTACAGAAATACTATGATTCATACCAGACATGACCTTAAGGCCAGCCTCAGGATTTAAAAAAACAACCAAACAAAAAAGCCAGCCCCCCAAAAAGGCCACACATCCCTAAACAAGTCTAGTCTTTCCCTCTGCTGTGGCTGAGAGAAGCTATAAGGTACTGAAGAGTTTAAGAGATATTTACTGAACATAAGTCAGCTGAAAGATTTCTTTCAACCGAAAGATCTGAGCCTTCCTTCTCATCTTGGAAGTCTAAAATGTACAAGAGTGATCATTGTACGGGGGATCTTCCTGCAACTAAATCTTTTAATTTCCTGTGGAACACAAAACTAATACAGAATAAATCCTCTGAACTTCTCCCTGCCTTTCCCAGGACCTGCATTAGGAAAGCAATCAGAAAAGTTTAGTAAAGATTTCGGGGTGGTTTTTTCTAATGTCACTTTCCAAAAGTGATGTTAATACATTTATTCTTGTTACTCACCCAATTTATAAAAAGAGCCTGAGTAAACTTGACAACTTCCAGTGTCACCAGAAGACTGATTGGAATAAGGTTGTTGTACAAGATTATAAATGTCAGCAGATTGTATCCAAAGTTGACAGACAGCATTTCTGTGGACCAAAAGATGTAAGACATCAGACAGAAGGCAGAAGTCTGAGTGATACAGTATAGGAGCACTCATCTTTCTGCAGTTGACCTGATCAGATTTTATAGTGCTAAAAATAATCAGCAAGTGTGTTGAGGCCTAGTGTGAGAGCCTTACTATTGATTTCAATAATACATACAAGACACCCACAGAACACATGCCTGGATACACAGCATATTATGCCAGGTGAAGGGCAAGACTGGTGCGGCTATTCAAGAACAGAACAATTTCTGAACAATTTTTGCTAAACAGATGGTGAGAAGTATGATATTCCACACTATAACCCAAATTTAGATACTTATCTGATGTGACAACCGCCCCAATTAAGAGCCACCAGTATCACTAATAACATAACTTTACCTTTCAGAAAGTGCCTCTTGTCTCAGTGGAGTTAGAAAACAAAAAAATAAAGACTAAAATTTGTTCTAAAACATGCAAGCATTGGCAGAATTAAGAAGTTACCTCACAGGGTTTTCAATGTTACAAATAAATTGGTAAGAAGGCAGGGGAGCAAACTATGAGGAGAGAAGCCAGAGAAAGTTGCTGAAACCTAACGAAGATCAGAACAAGACTTGAAGTTTGGACCAAGGCACCTCCAAGCATAAGCACATGTGAATCCCATGTCTTTGATCCAATTACGAAGAGTTGAAGCACAATTGATACTGGAAAAAGCCTTTCCCAACACAATATAGACACTATACATTTAACAAAAACTTAACACCTACCTGCCTAGCTTGAAAAAGTGCCTTTCCCATGTGTGGCAGTTACAGAAGTGATAGAAATCATGCATTCAATTTACAAAAAAGCATCTGTACAGGCTACTATGTCATCCTAGTTTATTACAGGTTGCATGTGGTTTATATTAGCACAAGTTCAAGAGTTTGTTCCATACATCTTTTCCAATACTACATCTGCAATCGAAAGGCACAAATTTCAACTGCCTCATTAAAAAGCAGCAGGGAGGGTGGGGAACAAACTTTGCAAGTTGCTGATACTGCTACTAGGAGACATTACAACTACCAGAGTCGAGTATGAGGCACTTTCATGCCCTTCCTATATGATTTTTTTTCATTACTATCACAATTGCAGTTCTTAAACTGCAAAAGACCCTCTGCCATCTGTTTTGCAATCACCAGCAGAAAGACCATTAGCAGTTTGTGAGAATTGTTTTCAGATCTGCATCTCAAGATGTTTGTAACAGATTTTATAGCTACCTAATGTAACCCCCTCAAGCCAGAACTACTGGAGAGCAATTTATTTAATCTTTAAGTGTTTGCATAAGGCCCATGTTTGATATCTGAACTAATACATTCAAGGAGTATGAATGAAATCAAGTAAGACCCTTTAATAAGCATGCCAAAAGATCGGTTCTCATTAGAAAATAACAGAAGTCAGAAGCCAGAGCAACTGAAACATTATTCATTAAACACAAAATCCTAATATTTACCATTTAATCATTTTCTTTACAATGGCAGCAAATCAGCATTTCTGACTGAAAAACAGCTAGAGAAATCCTTTTATTCTGCATATAAGCATAAAGTTGAAGTCAGTACCATCAGACTTATACCTGCTATCCTGCACTCAGGTAGTCAGACATGATACGTAAGGCAGCAGTACATGATCTGCTCTGAAAACAAATTCGTGCATGGCATTTCTACAGAGCTTGAACACCAAATATCCAAGAATAACTCTTGCCCCTCTTTCTTCCCTGCTCCCTAGGTGGTAGCCCAGTGATGTTCACCTAACCTTTAGAAGGTTTTATTAACAGAAGCCTCACTGGCAAGTCAACTTATGCCAGCCCATTCTTAAAAAAATAATATTGGGTCATCAAAAGAGTTAGCTACAAGCTTTGTTTGTTGTGTCTCTTACGTTTCTTTCTTATTTTATGCATTCACTTAGTAAAGCTAAGAGCCTGGCCAGCCCTACAGCCTGATACATCCCTAGCACACTACTTGCATACTCACTGTTGGAGCCAAGATACCAGACGACTTCACCATGTGTTCTGTTCCATAATAAGGCACCTACAGAACTCACAAGGGCCATCACCAGAAGAATACAGAACAAAACCAGGATCTGCACGTTCGTCACTTTCTCCACATTTGATCTTTTCAGAGGTGCTTTGGTAGAGTTCTGAACAGCAGCAGAAAAAAGAAAAAAAAAGTCTGGCTTATTCAAGAGGAAATTGTAGACGGAAACTCAGCCTTCATCTTTAGAGTCCATTACAGAATTTGCTACTTCAACTCTGTTTAGCTCAATATTGCATGCAGAGCTCAACAAGATAACTACAGGAGTCCATACTCCTAATGACTCCAAAACTGGCAGGAGATTGGAGTAAGAGAACCGTTCAGTTCTGAAGACCTAGTATGCTCATCTCCTCTCTGTCCATCTCACTGATGGTCAGAGGTGAGCAACACATACATGGTGCTGGTCTCTCCAGGCACTGCCTGCCATTAAGGCAGAGACTGTAGTCTCAACCTAATTATGTCCCAAGTGCTAAAATCATAGGTGGCCATTACCAAAACCTCAATAAGTGTTTACACATGTGCACAGGCAACCTCAAGTACAACAGCATCCTTGTATTCCTCAAAGCCTCCAGGCTTTAAACAGCTACAATGAATCAAACCATTTCATAAACTCAAGTCCAAAAGACAAGCAGAATACAGGAAAGATGACCATCTTCTATCAGAACACACTCTAGATCTCCTTAAAAACTTTACCTGCATGAGTTTTGTATCATGTCCTGTATACACAACAATACCCAAGACCCACTGGGTGTTTCTCAGTTGTGCACCTCTTAGCAAGATCTGGTCTGGACCAACAGGAACTGGGCTGCAAAGCAAGAAGTACGTATATCTTTCCATTCTTGATAACACTTTAGGAAAGTAATTCTCCTTTCAGCCTTACTCCCCCCCCTCAAAAAACCACCAAAAACCAAACCAACCACGAAAGAAGAAAAAATAATGAGCTTACGTTGTCCATACAACTCAAGAGAGCACTGAAACTCGTGTAAGTCTAAGCTCTACTAAAGCATGGTAGGGCAAAGGTGATACAAGGCAGCTGTTGCCCAAAACTTGAGAACTTACATGGCAGCCCTAAGTCTACTCTGCCCTTTACCCTGGCTAGTATGTTTTCTCACATGAAGGACAGAAGTATCACACTTGCAAACAGACCATCCATTCCAAGCGCACTATAACCTCACATATGCAATTAAATAAACATTTTGGGAAAACTGTATTACCTATGTGATTTTCAAGTGGGATGGAGGTGATCACCTATTCTTGCATCCATCAGTTGAGTTGCCCAAGGAATATGGGGTTTGTGCAGCAAAACAGGTACAGCAAGATGAAGCCTGTATGTTCCTACTGACCTTTCACATTCCATGAATTCAAGTACTAAAACTGAGTTCTTTTCTTCCAAGAGTTGCAAAAGATCAAAGTCACACTGATAAAGACTCCAGATTCTGAAATAATTTTTCTTTCTAGATCTGAACTAGGTGCAGCCTTTGGCTCCAGTTGGAAAGGACAGACTTCCCATTTCTCCTGTAACAAGGTAGCCCTAGAAACCTCAACCATTACCCTCACTTTTCCTTCTCTTTAGATGTTCATTTTGACAAAGAAAAAAATCACTATGATTTCAAAGAAACATACTCTCCCATAACAAGATGGCAACTCCACAGGAAGACAGAATTATGTTACCTTATACTGGCAGATGCTCTGATGGTCAGCTGTTAATTACCCTCCTCCTTCCCCAGCAAAAACATGTATATGCTCAGTGTTGCAGACTGAAAGCACACAGGAAGCATTTTTCCTAACCAAATGAATTTATGGCTTCATTGCCAAGTCAATACCTTTGACCATCTAAGCGCAAGTTTCCAGTAAAGTCATAAAGATGACGGTTGGGTCCTTCACATTCTATCCTTCCAGACACTTTCATCAATTCTTCTCTTGACTGGAGACTAGCAGTTTGAGACAATCCCTGCAGAGACCAAGCCAAATGAAATTGTCAAAGATTGTTATTAGAAGGCAACCTAGGAAAACAGTGCTTTCTTCCAACATCCAAGATATCAAATGTAATTAAACATGTGGAAGTTTTCTGTCGGGTTTGTTGGTGGGGTTTTTGTTTGTTTTTGCTTTGTTGTTGGGGTTTTTTAAATGGGTATTCAATAAATTTCCTGCAAGGAAGATTCATTATGGACCCATATAATCCTGCTTATATAAAATTGGTTTAAATCTCTACACAGGAGAGTTGTATTACCTACACAATCTCTTTGTAACCAAGAGGAAAGTCCCATCCACAAAGCACGAAGTTGCACATATGCAGGAGGAAGTAGGAGACAAGCAATATAAACAGGCTGGGCTTTTCTCAGAGTATAGCTTCACTGATGTATTACTGCTGCTAAATATAGTCACTCCTAAGTGTAGTCTCTCTTGGGTCACTGCAGCCATTATGCTCTTATCCTACTCCAGGTTAATTATCAACCTATCATGCAACTGTAACTTAATGTATTGCTACTCCATCTGAGAGTGCACATACAACATTGACTGCTTTTCATCTCTCTGTGAACACCTCCACTTAATTCGGAGTGATCCATTTAGTGTTTCTTTTGCCGGATTTTGATTGCAGCACTGCAAGCCAGAATAAGGCTTTGGAAAACCCCACAACCTTATTTTTGTATTTTTAGGTGTGTGTTGTGAAGCAAATAAAATCTGACAGGAACTCAAAATCTGATCTATTGGGCTGACCCGGAACAGTAAATCACATTTTTGCAAAGGTAGTAAACAAGCAGCAAATGTAAAGCTTTTTAAAAAACAAAATCACCTGCATTTCAAAATCTTAATCCAGATTCATTTTATGTAATGAAAGAGGGCAAAGATTCTGACTATTTCTAAACACCATAATCAACAGTATTTCTTCAACAAAACTAGAAATATCCAAATACATTCTACTACTTACCACAAAGAAAGAACAAATTAACTTAAACATATAAAAGGTCCTTTTGAGCACTGCACAGAGGCAGAAGCAACAGACTAGCAGTTGTGAGAGCAGAAACTGCAGCTCTCACCACAAGCACAGCTACCCCCTTTTTTTTTTTTTTTTTTTTAAATACAGCACCTCAGTTCCACTTACTGGACCTTCAGCAAAACACAGCCAAGACCTACTTGATTTGCTTTTGTGGGCTTCTAATACTTCCTCCAGATTAGTTCCTTACACTTGCACATGAAGCATTATTGCTTGGGCTTCTATCTGTTGAGAAGAGAACTACAGCCACCTGGAAGGAGATAATGCTTCTTTTTTTTTTAAGAAAGAGTACTTGTACTGTTGTCATGCAAACTAGACTGTGCTTTGTAGCTAATATTAGACACCTAAATGGAAAAAAAAGGTGAAATTCAGTTTGTTTTACCTGTCGTATTTTAAGATTCGTCTCCCCATCGAGATTAGCTGTTTCAATATAGCACATGGCTTGTGGTTCACTGTAAGAAGCATATGACATTCAATATTAAAACTCGGTACTACTTCTATACTACTTTTGCACTAAAATGGTCCACAATACACTTCAATACACTGCAGAAGACAGAAATCCATATTGGTGGTATATGATCAGGAAAAAGCCAGCTGAAAGATTTTACAGAGATGTCTTTGAATATGAACACTATGAAACAACAAATTATAGAGAAAGAAAAGTCTAAACCAGAAGGTTAATAAGAATTTAATGTCATGATAAACTTCGATGCCTAAAGTGGACTACTTTACATTGCAACCCATAAAACTGCTTCAGAACGCAGGAGCTATAGATAAAATATTAAGTATTGAGCAGTGTAAAAAGGGGATGTTCTTGGATGAAGAGGGTAGGGCTCTCCTCTATTGAGTTCCATCTGTGAAGTGGACACACAAAAGGTCATGGCCACAAGGCCACCTTGAAGTTGAGGGACTTGTGGAGGTACATCTGAAGTCACTGCTAACCAGGGGTTTTTCTGAGAATCAGAAAGAGGTACAATAAGATTGAAACCAAGGGCTGTGACCTGCATCTTCCAGGGATGTTTCTGCCCTTACCAATAGGGACAAAAAAAATCTTCCTTAAAGAACTGTGAATTAACTGAATTTTTCATTAGTCAAGCTCTTACTTACATCTAACATGGAGCAGCCCTGCATAGGTAGCACCTGTGATAAGGAAGGGTACTTCTATCATGGATCTTTTCCTGACATGCCCCTTAAGACCTGAAACCTCTGGATGGCACCACCAAAACTGTTTTTCCCAACTGTCTTTTCAGACTGCTAAGGAATATCAGTTTCTCATCTGGACACAAATGTGATTTTTTAGCATATCACTTTTCATACTTTTGAGATGTTGCAGTTTCTTTTCCAAAGTAACCAACTGCTTTAACAGCAAGTGTACTTAATCAGAAGAAGAATCAGTAATAAAGGCTCCTTAGGACAAAAACTGTTATGAAACAGACAGGTACATTTCTAACACAGTAAAAAGCTAGATTTTTCTCTCCAGGGAATTTTTCTGAAAAAAAGGTTCAGAGTCTGTTCTTTCTCCTCCCATACAGGCAACCTGAATCTGAACCCAAGAAAGCCACAGATTAAGTCCAGCTTGATTACAATTTTACTTCTCACAAACACTTTATCTACTGCAACTGAAGTGGTTAACTCAGGAGGGTGACCTCTTGCAAAACAATTCTCTTATTTCCACAGAAATGTGAAAGTATTTCCATACAAGGTTGCGTTTGGATTCAAATCTTTTTTTTTTTTTCTTCATGTAAATTTATTCCCTGTGTAAAATTCACTTGATGTCACCTTTCTTCTATGGGGGAAAAAAGAATCAAGATAAAAACAACTGTTTATTTCACCTCTGACAGTCAGCTCAGACACAGAAAATTAACACATATAAGCCAAAGACCCCACTCCTTCAGAGCATGCAAAGCCGTCTGGTGAACTGAGGACACTTAGTATTGACATTTAAAAGAATCACAGGAATAATACCAATTGTAAAGCAGAACTGCCATAGAAATTGCTATATACTTCAAGCAAAGCTTCTCCCAAATCAACATACTTTGGGTTAAATTCTCCAGTTATGTGATTATCAATGACAGCAGGTTAGTAGAACAGTGTAGAACAAAAACCTGACCCATGCAAGTTAAGAAATAAATCAGAAGGTTTTTTAGTATAATACATTAGAGGAGAAGTTCAAGTAGAACAAATATTCCTCAATGCTGAAACAGCAAGTTATTGATGTCAAGGTGTAGCCTAACTGCATAATAAGATTGATAACTCCTTATCTGAAATTTGAGGTTTCTTTAAAAAAAAACCACAATATTGTATACCATGGAATGAAGATACCTCTATCCTTGATCATGTGACAGTTCAAAGAGACTGAGCTTCCCCATACCGCTTTCAAACAAAAAAGTGAGACCTCCCAGGAATGACACAGACAAGAAGGATTGAGCAGAAAGTACAGTAGCTTAGAAAACAGGTGTGCTAAGGAACTTTAGAGAACTGTAACCTGGAGATCAGAGCAACCTGCAGCCTCTGTTGAAAAGCATGCAGACAGAAGGAAATTAGGGGGAACACCAAGATGTCATAAGGTTTGGCTATTAGAAAAAAAATCTGTTCAGGAATAGGGACTGCACTATTGTTTCTTGTTTTAATCTCATTTAAGTGAACAGCGGTCTGGGTTTGGCCTCAAGTTGGTCAACACAACGTAGGATCTAGATCAGCAGCCAAGTACCACTCAAATACTTTTAGGAACTAGCAACCAAGCTGTGTTTGCCAGTACGTTGGTATAAAGACATTGTCCCACATCCCGCAAAAAAAAAAAAAAAAAGAGAAGGACTCAGTTTACTGTTGCTACAGTGAGAAGAGAAATTTCTTTTGAAAGAGAAATCTTTCCTGAGGGGCAGGAAAATATGCTGGAAACTCAGTAAAATTAATTGGAAAACAACTTAAGCTTCCTTCATTAAATGGAGGGATCTTCAGAAGGCCATAGAGCAACTGATCACATGAAGCTTGTGTAACAGACCTTTAGTCTTCCAAACTCAGTGATACACTTCATGAATTACACGTACATAATACTATGAAGTCTTAAAGAAGCCTTATTTCTTAAGAACCCACCTACAATGATACATGAATCATTGCCTAGTAAAGCACTGTTTTGACATTGTCAAAATTTAGATGTGGAGAAGAATTAGTGCCATCTGATGTCTGTTTTTATTAATAGCAAATACAGAGTTTAGAGTCCTCTGCACCTCAGTTCATCAGACACATCACTTCCACACCCATTCAGGATACCTGGAAGATATAATGATCATGTCTGCTGGAAGATGTTGCCCATTGGTGACCTTCACAATATCTCCTACTGCTACCTGTTGAGTCAGGGGCAGGAGTACAGAAGCATGGAAAAGAAAAACAAACAATTTGCTTGTCTGGAATGTTAGTTTGTTATTTTCTTTCACCCAGCCAAAAGAACAGCATCATGCACAGAACAGCTAGAGATAGTGCTTCTGAAAGTCAGAGTACTTTTCACTGCAAGTTTGCAAGTATCAAAGCCTTCCCTTTTCTGAACAAAGTAAACAATTTTCTATAGAAAAAATAGATACATTCAATTGGAAAGTGTGAACTTCTGTGGCTCATATTTAATAAAAATTATTTTTTCTATAATCCTGCCATTAATCAGATTTGAGCTATTTTTTCTTCCTTTAGTTTTATGTAGCTTACAGAAAGATGTTTTCTAGTTTCCAGCACCTTTAATGACAGTCACACATGCATGGGACTTTGATTCTAAGAAGGACCAAGGAGCACTCAAAACAGTAAGCCAGGCTTGCCTGATGAGTATCAAATTGCTTAGCACCAATGCAGTCCTGAGAGTCTGTCCTGGTTTCAGCTGATAGAGCTAATTTTCTTCCTAGCAGCTGGTACAGTACTTGTTTTGGATCTAGGACAACAACAATGTTGGTAACACGCTGATGTTTTTTGTTCTTGCTAGGTAGTTGTAGTGTCTACGCTAAGTCAAGGACTTTTCAGCTTCTCACGCTCTGCCAGGTGCACAAGCTAGGAGAGCACAGCCAGGACTGGCCAAAGGAATATTCCCTACCATAGAATGTCATCCTTCATATATGACTAGGGAAGCGAGCTGGGATCACTGCTCAGAAACAGACTGGGCATCAGGTTTGGTTTTTTGACTTCCGCATGTGATGAGCAATTGCATTACTAGTGAACTGTCTTTATGGGGGGGGGGGGGGGTTCCCTCATTCTCCTCTCCATCCCCTTGGGTGAGGAAGAGGAAGCAAGCAGCTGTGTGGTGCCCCAGCTGGGGCTAAACCTCAATGGTCCAAAATGGGCTTAGAATATTTAACACATTAACTTATAAAAATTGAAACAGACTGCATGTTCGAACAGGTAGATTCATTAGTCTTACTATAATCTCACTGAAAACAAATTCCCTACCAATTTCAGCACCAAAAAAAAAAAATCAGAAGCCTGCCTTAAAGTAAACAAGGTGGCTAGTACAGAACTGTTATCCCCCAACAAGAACTGCAAGCCTGGACAATATGCTGATGCAGACACAGGCCAATTGAAGAAGTGATTAAGGGTATAAGAAAACCAGATTACAGGCTCAGCTCTAAATATCTTTCAATTCAGTGTCCCCACTACAAATAGGACATGGAACAGCATAAACAGGCATTAGCATCAACCATCGGAATCCCTGGCAATCTTTAGTTTCTACTATAGCCTAACACCAGCAGGATTGCTTTTAGATCTCGAGGCAGGTCTCGTTTCCCAGAGGTTTTAGAAGGATGTACTTTTTCCTCATTTATTAGTTAACAGGGCTAATTTTGTCCTTAAAAAGGCATTAAGAGTCATGATTAGAGCAATACATCCTGAGGGATTTCAGGAAGTTCTAGAAATAAAGCTCTCCAGGTCTTGTCACAGTGCTTCACAGAACATGGGTCCTGAGTGCCTAAGGTAGCAGCAGAGCTTGTGTTCCTTACTTGAGCAAACAGCTTACTAATTAGCCTCAAAACCTAAGAACCTTTTAGCAGCAAAATAAGTCTCTGTTCCACTTTCAGGAGAGGTACAACATTGCAGTGAAAGTTACTCTTCTAGATGCGGACTGAAAAAACCCACACTGTTTATACCCTGGAGCATATTAACTGTCCAAGCAAGAACACTTATAACAGTTCGTTAGCATTTGACAGAAACATAGTACTAGGATTTAAAGACAGGTACTCAGATGCAATTTTCACTATTGCAACAGGAAGGATCCCTCCCAACCAAGTCACAGGGAATGCTCACATAGTGTGCATTAACTCTAGGCCTCCAAATTTATTCCAGCAAAAGTAATTCTTGAACATCATCTTCCATTCCCTCCCATCCCCAATTTTATTTACCTCTTTCCATATAATGTTCTGCCACATCCCATTTCTTAGAACTGGAAAGAAAGTTTAGAGTTAGATTAACTACCCAAGATTTGGACAAATTTCAAAACAAAACAATTACAATTAGCAGTAATGAACATTGACCAAAATGGGAACTAACACACATCAGAAAAGTACTTTGCAAAAGCTGGAACCACATTTTTGTCCACAGCTGTAGGCACGTGCATCCAAGAAAGAGGAAAGATCTGCCCTTAGTATTTACATTGTATTGTTTTAGTCACCTGCTAGACAACAGTTGGTGGCCTGATTTCTTCTTGGCATCATTTCATACCAACATGTAGGTGGGCAGTGTTGGTACTTGTTTGGGAAGTGACCTTCCTTGAAACAAAGGGCATTATTACCCACTGCCAACCAATAACAGGAAGCATCTTTACTCTAAGTATGACAACCACAGAATTTTTACTTCTCACCTTTTTCGTTGCATTTTATTCATTATGTTTTGATTCTGACATATTCAACCTCGCTACAATATAAACTACCCTAATAAGGGCTGAGGCTTAATTGTCAAGCAGGCTCAAAGTCCAACTGAAAAGCAAAGATCAGCTTTGGCAGAAGAAGAATCCTAAATGCTGAAGCTCACATTGAAACAAAAAAGGAAACAAGGTACTGAAACAGGCCTTGACTTCTGTAGCACCCAAGTCCTATACTGCTGTCTTAGCACACTCTGTCATCTATTCTGGAACATGCTTTTCCACCCAAGTAGTTCCTCTAGATGCTTCTATACATACTTAATACTACCCTAGCCTAACCAGCAAGGTCAAAAATTTATGTCAAATCATTGCTGAGCAACCAAATCTAGTCCAGGTCTGAGCGTACCAAGTACACCTAAACAAACCTAAAGCCTTCACTGAAAGCAGTTGCAGTCAGTTTTTAAAGATGTTCAAAAGTGTAGTGCACAATAGATGAAAGTCAAAGAGGCCAGTCCTCTACTTCAAATAAATTTTCTCCTCAATTCTATGTAATTCACATGCATAGCTCATTTGAAAACAGTATCAAATTCCCAGAAAATACAACTCTGCTGAATACAGCCTCAGCCACCCTACTCAGGTTAGGGCACTCCCCAAACAGAAACACAAGATTTGTCAGACCAGATCAAGCACAAGAAACCCACCTCTTGATTCCTGTCCCTAGGCCACACAGTTTTGAGCACTAAATCCTGAGATTTAATACTACAGCGGATGGATCACAGTGAAGTAAACTATTCAACAAAAAATGGGTGGGCAGCAACAACAGCATTGCTAGTAATGCATCCAAACTGCTGAGCATCCACTAAAACAAGTATATGCAGTTCAGGGGAAGAACAGTTTTGTTGCACCCCTTCCTTCTTCTAAGCTGTGCTTGAATTGAGCTCTGCTTAGTTCAGAACTCAGGAGAAGGACTGAGCCCAGAATCTCGAGTGAAAAATCCCTGTACCTGCAGCCTTGACTCAAACCCCAAAACCTCAGAGAGGAATTGCAACACTTAGCCTCTCCTGGGCCTTCCTTTAAACAGCTCCCTGTTCCACCAGAAAATTTTGGAGATGTTTCAGCAAACAGTTGACATGCAATGAAGATATTTTGTAGCTTTGAGTACCATGAACTTGGTCTCAGACAATTTATTTAAGAAAACAATTTAGCTTTCATGCTTACTGCAATCAATTTAGCTATTAAAATTAATTAGTCAAGCAAATTACTGAAGCAACTATTTTTTTTAAACTCATAACACCACAATCTAAAGAGAAAGCTTCCATTAGACATAAAACAATTGAGACATTTTGGGGCTGCAATTTTGCACCTTTTACTCTGGTTAATCCAGTTTTACAGAAGTACTCCAAAAGACAGAAAGGACTATCTTTTAGAGAATATTTATAGGAGGATAAAATTGATGAATTGTTCATTGTCAAAAGGTATTTGGTTAAAGTAACAAAGAACAAGTACCTAAAAAGACTGCTCCTACTCAAAAACAGAGTTTCAATATAAACCTTCTCTAAGTCTTTTTAAGACTAAAAAACAGTGTATTGATGTTCTAGATCTAGGACATAATGCTGTCACTCACACTTATATGTGTAGGGCCATTTGAAGTGCTGCTTCTGAAGGGCAAGCATTTCTCACCAGTTCGAGATGATTTGCTAGCCCTGTGCCTGTCTACTATTTGAGGGCATCCCATTCAGTATTAAATGCTCATGGCTTATTCTCTAGTTTGGCAATGAGAGGATGAACACATCAGAAAAGTTATTCCTGAGCTCTCTACATCTATGCAATACGCTGCTTAAGGGCTTTGCCTGGGATTACCCTTAGTCTGGTCTCTACATTCAATGTCACCTCCCTACACACCATGTGAAGCTGTCCAAGACATGAGACACTGGCTCAGAGCCTAACACACTCCAGCTCCTAACGGAGATGTGCAGTGCTCCCCCGGAGCAGAAATTTCAATTTCATTTCCTCCAAAGGGAATTTAATTCCTACATACCAAAGCAACTCTGCAAAGCAAAACAATGTTTTTAATGGTAAACTTAAACAGGAAATGTGCTTTGAAGCTACTCTACCACTCAATAAAACGAAACATGAAGACAAATGCAAAGCCTACATGCATATTACTGAAGCAAGCATCTAGTCATCGCAATCAGTGTAGTTCAGAACCTAACTAAGCAGCCAGCATGTTTACTTTTGAGTGGAACTGCCCTCTGTACTGCTTGCACTGACTAGATCTCACTCAGCTCTAAGAGGAACCTAAAGGTGTATACAGAACCTAAATTGAATTAATCTAATTCCACCCTGAACATAAATTACCTTTTCATTCTCATAATACAAGTCTCAAGAATGAACATCTTTAGCCTTCCTTTTAAGAAATACAAGGATAGAGCTTTAAGTACCATTTTGATAATTGTATTTAGAGTACTCACTCAAATGTAAAATATAAAGCCTGAACTAAAATAATTTTTCAAGTGCTAAGTTCCACTTAGCTGCATAAGAATACCTTCTGTTCTTTAAGTTTGTCTCTCCACCATTACTGTGATAAATTTCCCTTGTTAGCACATTCTCTAACTACAAATTAATTAGAACTGCTTATGTGACCTTCAAAAGAGCAGTCTTTCATATTACCTTTAACAAGGCCTGTTGTGCTACATAGCTGATTTCTCATGACTAATACAGTGTACTCCCACTTGAAAGATCTTCCCAGACTCTTGTAGAGAAATTACCTTGAAGAACTAGTAAAGCAACACTTTTTGATATTCATTAATATACAATCTCAAGAATCAACTTAGCTTCTCAAGCATAAAGGAAAAATATCTCACTGCAAATAATCCTGCAAACATTATGCCTGTTAACTGAAGTGTGGAGCTAGCAGGTTGTTCAGTTCCCCATGTTCCCTTACGTGTTTTTCTTGCTTCTTGACACTGAAGCTAAATGTGTTTGAGAGGAAGGGGATCTACTCAAAGGTCACATCCCTTTGTTTTCTGTTTCATCTGCAGATCCCCACAGAGGAGCAGTGAAGGAGTTGCCCAACATGGGAACACAGAGATCCCAAGACTGCAGCACAGACTGACCATAGGATAACCATCAATAAACTCTTCCTATTTTCTGCACAATTTTTCAGTTAAGGAAGATGAAAAGGAAAGTGATGTCTTCAGGTATTCAGTGCCAAGTAGCGTCAATACATTAGGGATACATGCAGGCATTCAGAGGATATCAATGTTAAATTCTCTCAGTGGCACTTCAGGAAAGCAAATCCACAAAATATCCAGAGCTCTTTCTATATTTTAAGGGAAGCAGCATTTACAAAAATAAAATTCCTTTGACATCAACTTTTAGCATTTCAAGGGATTGTTGGGGGTTTTTGTTGGTTGGGGTTTTTTTTTTTTTTTTGGAGGGAGGAGTGTTTGTTTTATGGGGTTTTTCTTATTTTGGGGGGTTTTTTGTGTTTGCTAGGGGGTGTGTGTGGTTGTTTTTTTTTTTGAATAGTCACAGTAGTTTGACAGGGGAGAAAACTGCTTGGTTTTCTAGGAAAAGCTGAGAACTGTATCACTTTGGACAACCTTAAAATTATACAAACTTATTAATTCTAATAATTCCCCCCATGCCTCACCTTCAAGTGTCACACTATCAGCATCAGCCTAAAACATTTGGTAAAGTAAAATCCTAACATACAGTAACTACCCAGTCCAAAAAGACACACATTCCCCACTGTCATGACTGTTTAAGCAATAGAATTGTTCAAAAGTAACTGTTTTCACATTCACTATTTGCACTTTAAATATTTCAACTTAAAGACTCTTTAGTCTTACCTATTGTTTTCTTTTTATTCACTGCACTGTCTGCCTTATGCCTTTTCTGCAAGGAAACAACATTTTATTACACCTCATTACACTTCATTACAGATTGCAAAACCATTAGAGCTAGAGACATGACAAACTGCACGATGACATATTGGGTCATTTTTGCCTCTATTACAATTTTTTTTAAAAAGCCACACAGATCATCTAAATCCAAATGGCTTGTAAAAGAATATAATTTAATTTTACAGTAAGAGTCCCCATATTGAAAGTCAGGCTCAAGCCTGGCTCAACAGCAAAAAACCTGTCTCCAAACTGGGTTTTAGAAGAGAAACAAGAGGAACAACGAGGAACAGTGTATTTAGATGACAGCTGCGCTATACATTCTATGTGCTGTTTATATAGACTCATTTCTAAGTTAATTTATTCATCAGAATTTTGCAAAGCAGAAAGACCTCTATTATAAACAGTGTCCAAGTAAGTTAGTGCAGATTTTCCCCAAAACAGTTTGCTCTATGCTAAAGTTGCTTTCCACCCCCTCCTCCCATTTTCAGGACCAACTTAAAAAAAAGCCACATATGACAGGACTCTACAGTGTCTTTCTAGCCAGGCCTTCTTAGTAAAAGAATGAATAAACAAGTTTGAAAAGGTAGAAACAAGTGTCCTGACTGCTACTGTTTCCTTGTTGACTATCTATAATGAAAACAGTCAATTTATCTCAGTATGCTACAGAAATCCAAGTCCATTTCAGAGCTTTGAAAGTCTAAAGAATATTTTGCTGCTGTTCAGCAATGACTCAATAGACTTTAGAGACGCACACCTCTGTGGCATTTTGTGGCTTTTCTGAAACACTGTCTTTAGCATAGCCTTACCCATAATCATACTCACATAGTCTTCTATGATTTCTTTGATGCCAGCAACTGTTAAAATAAATAGCAATGGCACCAAGGTGGTATATCTTCCTGTTGGAGAGACATCTGGAATTTGCTGTGAACAGAGGGAGAAGAGATACACATTTTATATTTGTTTTTAAAATTCATTTTTAGCAGATTTACAGCTTTATGCAAAGCTCTCAAAAGAGAACACACAGCTTTCTGATTTGTGCCTGACTGACACCCAATTTCAGCGGGCAAACTAGCCTAAGCTCTCAGCAGATTTGAAGAAACTACTACCATAAAGTTTGAAGATGAAGTTGTTGTACCTGCCTTTTACTCTGTTTCTCCTCTCTTCACAAGAAAAAACATTCAAGTGATGTAATTCAACTAGAAGCAGTGATAATCTGGACTATCTAAACAGTCAGCAGTTCCACAAGAACTCGCTCAGGCTTTTCTCAGTATGGCCAATAAATAGCTCCATATTCTATGACACTAACGCTTTTATTCTTAGTAAGTAAATACAAGCAGCTTGATTTTACAAATTACATTGGAAAAAGTCTCTAAATTGCCATCTAATTTCAATTATAAAATACATACCTCTTTAATATTACTATTAAAATGTGTCTAAGAATTTCTTCGCAGTTAAGCATAACAACCAAAACAGCTTTTACTGCATTAAAATCTCATTTTATCATCAAGGCAAACCAATAAAACAATACCTGCAGTAAGGCAATGAAGAGGAAGAATGCATTTGCAGCTTTTCTTATCTGCTCATACAGGAATCGAGGTAGAAATGTCACCACGCTGTACTTGGCTGTGCTGCAAGTTAAAAGATTTTTATTTTAGTATTTCATTAGAAAATCACATAGGGATTATGACCAAAAAAGTTTCAAATAGGCTTCTAAAAGTCACCATTAGAAAGATCGCATAGTACAGACAAATATAGAATACGGAAGAAGTTGCCTGCAGCATGAGGAAGAGCTGCACAGAGCAGAGGTATCACACAAACCCAGAAGGCTGACAGTCCCGCTTTAATCACTGCTACCTTTATTACTGGATAAACCACCAGATAATTTATTATCTGTCCAAACTTCAGCACCATGAACACGCAACCTTTTACCTCAGTTCCAAACACTTACCCCTTATCAAAACACAGATTCAAGTGTTGGGGGAGGCAGAACTTAACATAAGAGAAATTAGAAATTCTGCATTTTTAAAATGCCTCATTTCCCAGTTCAGAACCACTGTATCCAGTTATTCATAATCCTCCAGAACAATATACACTTTTTCAGATTAATCTTTCCTGGCTATTTTCCCTGAGAAGTTATATTACTAGTTGTTCTACCTTAAAACAAAAATACGCTGCACAGACTAGTCTCAACAACCCGCATGATTTGTCTTCCTCACATCAAACCCATGATGGGCATGCGTACAACTTCAGGAAAAAAACAGAGATGACAAGACCTAACTGTACAATTTTTAAATGAGTTCTATATGCCACACCCATGTTGTTGAGATAGCAAAAAGATAAGAGATTAAGACTCTTCCGTGCAAGTCCTTGTTTTCCCAACACGTTAGTTACAACTCAAGACATTTACATGCCTTCTTGAGAAAAGTTCTACAGCATGATGAGTTTCCTTGCACAGTCTGAGCTGTATGAGAGAGAGTCTATCTAGTAGTACATAGTGTTCCATTATACCAGGAAAAAAAGTATTTTTAGAGTAAGAAGAGCAACTACACCTTACTTTCCCCTGCCAAATTAGCACAGCACCTTCCCTCACTGTTAACTACCAGGCATCAGCATGAGTTGGAGCTTCAAGAACCAAGTGCTTGCAGCTGTAGTTCAGGTGTCTTCCCCCAGACACCAAATTTTAAGCTCTGCAAGAGCCAAACAACCTGTGACAGGAGTTTTTGTTTGTGTTTTGGGGTATCGTTTTTTCTTGGTTTTTGGGGGGGGGGGTTTAGCTGTTTGGTTTTTTTTTTAAGGCAGCTGATATTTCTAAGGAACAGAGAGCCCTAAGATACTCCTTTCAATAAAGAAGAACAATTGTTTGCTGAAGCGCTAACACGATTCCTCAAACACAGGCAAGATACTGTTTTATTGAAGTCTCCTAGAACTCTCTTCCATGAAGGCTGGTCCTCTATGAAAAATGCTTTTTTTGTTCTCTCCTACCAATAAGAATTTCAGATCAACTGAAATCCATGGCATTATTATTCACAAATCATGAAGGACTAGTATAATCATGGCAACGTGGACAGTGAGATTGAGTGCACCCTCAGCAAGTTTGCTGACAACACCAAGCTGTGTAGTCAACACACTGGAAAGAAGGGATGCCATCTAGAGGGATCTAGACAAGCATGAGAGGGGGATCTCATGCAAACCACATGAAGTTCAGTAAGGCCAAGTACAAGGTTCGGCACATGGGTCAAAGCAATCCCAAGCACAACTACAGGCTGAGCAGCCCTGAGGAGAAGGGCTTGGGGGTGCTGGTTGATGAAAAGCTCAACATGAGCCAGCAATGCGCACTTGCAGCCCAAAAAGCCAACCACGTCCTGGGCCGCATCAAAAGAAGCATGACCAGCAGGTCGAGGGAGGGGATTCTGCCCCTCTGCTCGCATGAGATGCCACCAGAAGTACTGCATCCAGCTCTGGGGGCCCCAGTACAAGAAGGACATGGAGCTGTTGGAGCGAGTCCAGAGGGCCATGAAGATGATCAGAGGGCTGGAGCACCTCTCCTGTGAAGACAGGCTGAGAGAGTTGGGGTTGTTCAGCCTGGAGAAGAGAAGGCTCCAGGGACACCTTAGAGCAGACTTCCAGTACCTGAAGGGGGCCTACAGGAAAGATGGAGAGGGACTGTTTATCAGGGAGTGTAGTGACAGGACAAGGGGTAATGGGTTCAAGCTGAAGGAGGCTCAATTTAGATTAGATGTTAGGAAGAAATTCTTCCCTGTGAGGGTGGTGAGGGACTGGAGCAGGTTGCCCAGAGAAGCTGTGGATGCCCCCTCCCTGGAAGTGTTTAAGACCAGGTTGGATGAGGCTTTGGGCAATGTGGTCTATTGGAGGGTGTCCCTGCCCGCAGATGATCTTTAAGGTCCCTTCCAACCCAAACCATTCCATGATTCTCCATTTATGATATACTGCCACACCTTCCAGAATCAAACAGTAACAAGGGACACAACCGTGACACAGTGTTATATGAAGCTCCATTTTGGACATTAGAATAGAATCAGTGGGGCAAGTTAAACAAAATGATCAATTAAAAAACAGCTAAGATCCCATCTTATTAGACTGTGGTAGTTATATTTCAATTTTACCTAGTTTCCTATTCAAGCAATTATAAGCCCCTATTACTTTTGATGCAAATCAGTTATTACTTTAACTAGCTCTCTAAAAGAGGCAACATGACAGCATTTCTAGCGTACAGACTACAGATTTCCTATTGCTACTACTGCTCAGCAGAATCATGTAATAAAATACTCAGCATGATATTTTACAGAAGTTGCAGGTGGTCATACCTCAACATAAATTACACCAACTAAGCTGAGTGAAAACACGCATCTGGGTTTACACCATGTAATGTAGTATACTTATTGTATAAATGAAGATAAATTGTTTCCTTTAAGCACTATTGATTTCTTCCAACTGTATTTTTGTTTTAAGCCACATTCACTTGGTCCCACATGTAATATAGATATAATATAGAACATAATTACACATACATGTCTCAGAAGTACCTTGTGACTTTAAAAATAGGGGTTAATCAAGTTAATAGTTTAGACCTACCCAACAAGCAAATTCGCCATCAATACTAATTAGAAATCAAGAGTTGGCAGATTTTTGTATCAAAATAGTATTCCATTGGATAGCACATAGTCATCAGACAAATTCTTGCTCTAATGCAGCCATAGCAATCTGAAACATATATTAAACAACATTCTACCATTTACTGACTTTACAGCTAACCGGTGCAAACAATATTCTTACTGCATTGACATTAACACAATCATTAGAGTAAGGCTCTTTTGAATGAGCTTTATACATATTAAGTCACTGCATCCATTGCTTAAGTAACACAACAGATGCCTACAGAAAACAGGTACAGTTCTAATTACAAAGGGGCACACTCAGCTGTTACCACGCAGACCCAGAACAGTCATCATGTTTATGTATAAGAGTTGCATGTTATTCAAAAAGAACTTATGAAAACCTAACTAATACTCTAAGCGCTTATAGCCAAGAGTATTTGATTAATTTGGCTTTGAAGAACAGCTCTCTAAAGGACAAATACTATACTTACAAATAAAAAAAGCTTTGTGCTCCCTCCCAGATAGATGCATTGCAGATGACTTCAGGATAATCAAAGCTTAAAGAAGTTACAATCTACAGGTGAACAGGTAGAAAATTCAGGCAGCTCATTCATAGCACAACTTTAGTCAGCAAAGATAAACATCTGCAATGCCTAGCCCCAATCAGAGCCATCTTATCTTCAAAGAAGTGCCTGGTATCCAACTCCAGGAACACTAGGTCTGCAGCTCACAGACCAGGTTGTGGCAGGGGGAAGAGGGGAAAGCATATGTAGGAAACCAAAACAACAAACTGGTTTTTCCTAAAGCAACAGCTGTTAACTATGCAAACCTTGCTTAACTACACAAGTTGGCTGTTTGAACAGCTGTGCAAACATTACAAGAGATGTCTCTTCTATATCTGCAACTTAATTCATGTAAGTCATGTTTCATGTTACACTACTGTGCAAGTCAGGAGGAACACTACCAAACCCTGTTAAATGAGTTTGGATACACATCAGTACAGCTGAAAGTCTGGCACCACTGTTTTGAGAGCAGTGCAGAGATTTTTCTGAAAGCAATCACTGTATAATTTGAAAAAAGTTGGTGTTATTCACGTACCTTAAATCATTACCATGTTACTGAAGTACCAAGGATTAATTAGTTATTTTGATAACTCAAATAAAAAGTAGCAAACTGCACACTGAGAAACTCAGCAGTAGTTTTCCAGTATAGCTCCTCCATTTATTAACATGGAAATTTTGCATGGCAACTCCCATAGCTGCCATTTTCCGTGTTTCCTAAAAACTTTTCATAAAGTCATGTTTTACCCTAGTGCATCATCCTTGAAGAGGCAAAAGGCTGCCAGTAACAGATGCAGAGAGGTTACTTCCATGAGCAGTGCGTGCTGGCAATGTGCAGCCAAATACAGCTGACTGGGAAAACGTAGAGCTATCTAAAGCACTTCCACCCCTTCCTTGAGAATTTACACTGACAACTCTGAGATGAACTTCACCTTCAGAATAATCACGACAAAGAAAACAAGACCTCCTTGAGGCACACGTGGCCTCATTTCCAGGGGTGATAAGTGCAACAAACTGTCCTTTCCAAGGCAGCATTTACCTACAGCTATCCATTCCACAGTTCACATACTTGAAATATTCTCAAATCTGAGAGCTGAAAAATTAGTATTGCTTGATGTTAGCGCTTTTACACACATCAGTTTGCAGGAACAATTAGTAAAAAAGCCAGGCATAGACATCTGAACCACAACAGAGGGGCTGGGTAATTAAAGTGTTAAGGACTTGAACTCTTCTCTCACCAAGGAGCCATTAACATACACAAAAGATCAGGTGCCCTGTAACAGAGAAGGAAGAAAAAATAAAACGCCAAGATGCTTGCATCAAGGGCTCAAATACTGTCTTCACTGAAACTGTGTGTATCTAAGGTCCTGCAGGCACATGATACTTCTTTTAATGGCAAGACTGACATCAGCTTCAGACATTCTGCTGTAGCTCTCTGATACAGAAGCAGTA